TTTACAATCATATTTATATATCGATAGATAATTTATTATTATATATTGATTAACAATAAATATCGAGCAGTGCGTTAGTATCGCGGCCGATAACGTTATCAGGCTTTACAAAAAATATATATTTGTTGATATACCTAACAGGACCGGGGGGGGAGGGATTGTTAGTAATGGAGTCTAACGCCATTGCTAGCAATACACTCAGGTCGACTTCCAGGTGATTCCCTTTGTAAACCATCGTAGATAATTCTAGTGGAATTCGTCACGATGCACAGTGGGAACTCGCCTAAGAAAGCCATCTCATAAATACTTTTTTTAAAACTCCGTGGATATGCATGTATAATACCTCAAATTGTAGCTAAAGAGTTACTCTATCATTATAAGTATAATTCAAATCTGTCACTATTCATACTTCATAGAACAGAGCATCTAAAGTCAAGGAATGAAAAAAATACAAAAATAATTATGTAACTTAAATTTCGTTTGGTATAATTTTATAGTATCAAAACAATAGAAGTCATATAGTGTGATACCATTTTAGAATGCTTAGAATGTGTACTTTACTATAAAATAAAAATATATTTAGTTTAGTACAATATTACTTAACCAAAGATTCATATATCGTTATATGTATTATTTTCTTTTCTCAAACTTTCAGTTGGAGATTTGACAGTTGCCGAAGCTTGCCGAAGTTCTGATTTTGGTTTAATTTATTAGGAAATATAATGTAATTTGAGGGCAAAAGATTTTTTTTTGCAGTTTTACTGCGTAATATATTTAAATCTAGTATAATATCATGGTGAGAATGTTTTTTTCTAATTACGTATATTAAGACTTTTTTCTTTATTTGAGATTCTCTGTCTGGACACTCAAAAAAATACTTTTGTCTCAATTATTACTTTATATTTTATCTTTTGCGTTACTTTTATCAAGTATTTCACACAGTATTTAGTTCCCATTTCCATACAGACCTATTGTTTACCGCATAACCGCATAATGATGATTTTTTTAAATCAAGTAATTTTGCACACGTCTATGATCATTATTAAGTATAAAATAGTGCATTTATATATGAAATATTACAGTTCTTTATAAGCATTTGTCATTTCTGAACAATTGTTAATTATTTAACTCTCCGCAATGAGTGAAGTCTCGTGTACCGGACGCGACTTAAGTCTCTTATTGTTGAAAGTGATACAAATTATATTGATTCTATCTCAAACTATGTACGAAATAATATTACCGAATCTTCAGACGCAAATATATCAAAAATTATCGCAAGTATTTAGAAGTCCTTCATAACTCAGTTTCGTCAACGCTATACGAAATGTGGTCGAAAGAAAGAACAGTTTTTAAATCAAAATAACAATTGGTTAATGTCATTTTCACTGTAAATCTAGAAAAACTACATGCGAACCTGAACCTTCTACTTCGACAGAGAAAAGAGGAAGACCTTCTAAAAGATACGAAGACAGTTCAGAGAGTACAAAGAAACGGAAAAACAAGGGACTGCTTGATACCTGTGGACTTGATTTCATACTGAACTCATATGTATAGGGTTTAAGGTCACGTGGCGAAGTAGATGAAGCATTCATCGTTGATATTTTACGAGCATGGCCGTCAGAAAAATAGAGTGAAATACGCAGTAATCTTCTTAATGAACCGACACATATAACAGCATATTCAAAAGATGAAGATTTTAGCATTTTTATAGAATTGGATCTGAACAAGGCACAGTATGAAAATATGATGAGTTGTTTGATAGTAAAGAATTGCTTATTGTTTCCATTATACAAGTTGATTCGTGAAGTTACAGAATCTTGCTATCCGCCAAAATCACAAGGTGTTGATTCATTGTGAAAGTGTGATACGTTACTTTTCTGTCTTGCCTCTTGGGCAACTTTCAGAAAATGCTCAAGAGTCATGGAACAAAGACTATAAACAGTTCAAGCTTCATCATGCGAGACAATGTTCGAGGGTAGCCACTAACGAAGATGTTCTACACGCACTTTTATATACCTCTGACCCATACATAACAAGTTTAAGAAAACCTTCCAATAAAAAATATTTAGAACTTTTTGATGAAGTAAAGGAGCTCTTGAGTGACTTCTAAGTTATCTTTATAAGAGTATTTGTTTTTTACGCAGATACTTTTACTTATTCCTGTATAAATTTCTTAGGACATAAATGTAAGTCTACAAATTTTATATTTCTTGTATTCCTATATTATTTATAACTATTAGAAATAAATTTTTACTCACAAAGTATACATAATTTAAAAGCATATATATTTAAGATTATCAGGAAAAAAAAATCATGTACATATCTTTATTAATACGGAAGTTATAGATTTATGAGATGAAAAGGAGTCAAAGTTCCCACTGTGCGATGGGCTAACTGACCTGCTTCCATCATTACCTATATGATGCTCCGCCAGTGTATACCGATAGCACAGGCGGGGTTACCATTCCATTATCATACATAAAAAAAAACAAGGCGACCAAGTCTGAAGTCTGAAGTCTGTTCCTCTGTACCGGTAGCTTTAGAAGTACTTAGTAAGATTTCAGTTGAATATTAAAACGAAATAATTAAGGTTTCGTCGTCATCATGTCAGCCGTTAACCCTTAAACACCTGAAGTTTCAAATTTGATGCCGGGGTTATATTGCATTGGGCGCCTACAATCGATTTTATTTTAATATTTGGCTGTTTACATGTCACCAAATGTTTTTTTTAATATAAATATATAAAAATATCGTTTTAATTTTTTTTACAATTTTCCCCCATTAGTAAACATAGTAAAGGGTACACTTGTATATTTTTTAATTTGATTTAAAAAATCAGGCTTTTAAGGGTTAACAGTCCACTGCTGAACATAAGCCTTCCCCCCCTTAGGGTGTTTTGCCAGTTGTTGCCACGCTTGGCAGGCGTATTCCCTACAGCAGTTAGGCTTTGGAAACGTTTTAACAGGGACGCTGCTACCCATTCCGTAACGATCAAGTTTCCTTAGTCGCCTCTTGCTACACCCCGTTAAAGGAAGGGGCATTCCATGCCGGCGCCACACGGCAATTTTAAGGGTTATGAATTAATAAATGAATGAGTATACTTTATTTGCATTATACAATGTAGGGAGCAAGCAAGACAATTAATAAACGTAACGATACAGTTGTATGTAATGCAATAAATGTAACGGTACAGTGAGGCGGTCTTATTGCTGAGAACAATCTTTACAAGACAATGTACAAGAAGGTATGATAGTACTGTATAATTAAGAAAGTATTTTTTGCAAATTAAAATATATATATACATATAATTATCAACCCTACTACAATATATCGTCACAGTCGTAGAATACTGACGGATCTGACAAAGATTACATATATAGATCCGTCAGTATTCTACCACTATGACGATATAATCCCATGCATATATGTCAAATATGTACCTAATACTAGGACATATATTAATAATTATAGGCACAAGGAAAACATACTATCATAAAATAAATAATTATGTTTTCTAATACTTTATAGAAGGTTCTGACGTAAAGGGAATTTAAGGAAATTGGACAGAATATTGGAAAATGTTAGAAAACTTAACGACTATTTCAACTTCGCTCGTTTAGCAGGACTACGTGTGTCGGCCGGCTAGTTTCTAATCTACACTAATACTCGTATTACAAAGAGGAAAAATTTGTATTTTTGTGTGTATGTATGTTTGTAATGAATAAACTCAAAAACAACTTTGCCCATTTCAAAAATTCTTTCACCATTAGAAAGCTACATTCACCCTGAGTAACATAGGCTATATTTATTGCTAGAAAAAATTAGGGATCCTTACTAAAACTTTATTAACGCAACTCAAGGTGTAAAAAAAATGCTATAAAATATCTTTGGTCGCGTGCGCTGCGGAAACTATTGGTGATAGAACAAAAGTATGTTCTACAATATTGAAGAAAATATCAATAACTACAGAAAACTTCGCGATACTATATGTCCAACTATTATCGTTATGTCACAATAACCACCTTTTACATTTTAAAATGTTGATAGAAATACCGACCAAAATTATACCATGTTATTCATACTTCTGTTTAAATCCTTATCCAAATAAATCATATTATTTTCAAAGCTGTTTCAATTTATGTTAGATTACTTTAGGAATTGTTCAAATCGGCTATTCTATTCAATAGATATTACGAATTTAAAGTCATAGAAATAAAAAAAAATAACGCTATCGTGTTGTACGTGTTATTCATACGTATTTATTAATCCTTATCCAAATAAACTATTTTGTATTCAAAATTGTTTCAATACCTGCAGATTACTTTTTGAATTTTTCAAATCGTACGTATATTCCATTTGAAAGGTTTTGTTTTTGTTTTTTTACTTTTTTTTTTGATGAGTGAAAATGGTATTGTAACCCCGCCTGAGCACTAGTGAAGGGTGATGGATGAGAATGAAAACAGGCCAGTTAGCCCATCGTGATGAATTCATTAGGAATTAACCATGATAGTTTCCAGGGGGAACCGCGAGGAGGTCGACCTGGTTGGATATATTGCTAGCAATGGGATTCTCAGTCTCCATTACTAACAATCGCTTTCTCCCCATTTGAAAGATATAAGTTGAAAAGTGTAAAATATTGTAAAAATGTCCACCCGTGCGAAGCTGGAACGGGCCGCTAGTGTTTTAATAGATTTAGATCGACACCGATACGACATCATAACCTTCAACAAGAGAATATTTCTTTAAAAAGCATATTCCTGTTTAAAAGGCCGGCAGCACACTTTTTTTTTACAACACAGAGGGCAAACGAGCACGCGGCTCACCTGATGGCAAGTGACTACCGCCGCCCATGATCACCCACAACACCAGCGACATTGTAGGTGTGCTGCCGGCCTTTTAAAAAGGAATGTGCTCTTTTCTTGAAGGTTATGCCTCTGGTGTTGTGGGTGATTTTAATTTAAAATTTAAGTATAAACTATTATAAATTGAATTTAGGATAATCCATAAAAACATGATTTCTTGTAATTATTTTATTTATTTTAATTTTTATAAAAAAAATTACAGCTAGATTATTTCGTAATAAAAAAAAAAACAGAAAATACAAAAAGCCACTTACAGGTTTTCACAAATAATAACATGATTTATTGAATGCACATGACATTCGCTAATACTTACAATCAACTGAATTAAACTTGGAGTACCAACATTACAATAGTACACACAGTGTAGGGAGGCAGCTATGCAAAATAAAAAGTTGAAGTCACGCGCTCAAAGACGAACCATCCAAGAACCACTGACTCGGCACACGTCTTGCGGATTCTATCTTAGAATTAAATAAATCTAAATCGAGATCTCTAGATACTTTATTAAAATTATCGCTTGCACGCCCGAGCTATGTATTTTTTTTTTCTACAGTTAGTGGAAACAAATGGAAGAAATAAGGTGACATTTAATCTAAATGGTTTAGTTTGGGACACATGGAACCTAACCTAACATGGAGGGGGGAAGGGATTGTTAGTAATGGGGAGATTAGTCCCCATTGCTATCTATATACCCTGTCAGATCGACCTCCACACGGTCCCTTCTGAAAATCATCGTGAGTAATTTGTCGTTGAATTCGTCACGATGGGCTAACTGGCCTGCTTCATCCTCACCTATCATCATTCACTGGTGCCCCGCCGGTGTATACCGATAACACGGGCGGGGTTACCATTTCATTATCATCCATTAAAAAAAATCTAACATTTAATAATTTTCTAGAAATGTGTCTTATTTCTCATCACATCTCTCTAAGACTAAAAACCAAAAACGAAAAACAAGGCATGTGCTTGCGTATTAAGCACAAGGAAAGTGTCGTGTGGTCCCGGCACAGAATGGGTCATCCCTTCCTTTCCCGTGGGTGTAGTAAAAGCCGACTAAGGGAGCTTAATCGTTGAGGGATAGGCAGCAGCGTCCCTCTTAAAACAATTAATGCCAAACTGCGGTTGCCAATCCGCCTGTCAAGCGTGGCAACTACTGGCTAAATTCTTCTTTATGGAGGAGGCCCATGTCCAGCAGTGGACAGGTAACGGCTGACATTGTGTGAAGCGTAAGGAAATATATTTTTAACAGTGTAGATTTTTTTTTTTTTTTTTTTTTTTTTTTTTTTTTTTTTTACAGTTGAAATCACTACCCATATTTGTTTATAACAGTGTTTTTCAACATGTGGGTTGCAACCTCCTATGGGAGGGAGACTGCAATTTTGTTTTATACATCTTAGAATTGCAAACAAGCTGATGCGCATGATACCCCCCATGCATCGCCATTCCTGAGAACTCAGGTGTTATTCTCTCTACTCTATATATTATTAACTCAGGTATTCCTCTGTACCCTGTAAATTCACTGTTATATCCCACCCTTCAAACCGAAACACAGCCATGCAAACACAACTGCTTCACGGTTGAAACACGAACGGGACAGAGGTACCCAAGCAAACGAGTTTAGTATTATTATTATACTTAATTCTGTATTTATCCGAAACTTAGTTATGCATAGAAATATTGTATAGATTGAAGTATTCAGTCCCTACAACATCTTTGTAATATTATATTACAAAATACAAGAAAAAAGCAAAGGATCGGACGTCACGAAATATTTTTTTCATATTAGGGATAAGGGGGGGGGGGGAGGGGGTCACGTCATGTAAAAGGTTGAAAAACACTGGTTTACATCATAGTCCAGTTGTTGGTACCCACACAGTAGGCTAGATAACAGGCATGTCTCGTATTGATGTCGAATAGGCACTTCCCGAAGGATCCGAAGACAGTGTGTGCACAGTGACAGTGGATACACAGCTTGAAGGAGGGCGAGCCCGACTCCAGCTCCGGCACCAGCTGCTCGTACACGAACTGCTCGTCGAGGTGTGTGTACGAAACGAAGGCGTCGAACTCCCTGTCGCCGTCGAGGTCCTCTTCGCGCACACAGCACTGGCATAGCCCGCGCGAGTACAGGTACACCCTGACTTCCATCCTGTAGTAGTACATGAACCAGATAGCCAGCACTACAAGGAGGAACGCGGTCACCGTCGGCGACAGAGCGTACACCAGCGTTTCTGTCGGAGACAGCGCGCACAGGTCCTCTACTATAATAGTGCTGAGCAGCTTCTCATCGTCGCATTTTAAATCTGCATAATCCACCTGAAACGGAATGGAAAATTAATAAATATACATCTACAAGGGATATTGAAATCATTATTATTATTATTATTATTTATACAACTTAGAATGGCAAACAAACTGACGGCCCACCTGATGGAAAGTGGTAACCGTCGCCTATACACATGAGCAGTACCATGTACATAACAGAGTATACTGTTTCGCCCATGATACCCCCCATGCGTTGCCATTCCTGAGGATTTAAGTGTATTTCTCTGTATCCTGTAATATTACTGCCATATCCCACCGTTCAAACCGAAACACAGCCATGCAAACACAACTGCTTCACGGTAGAAACACGAACGGGACAGAGGTGGCCAAGCAAACGAATTTTGTACAAAGTCTCCCTCTGGTGAATATTTACAAGTAAATATTATTTTTAGGAAGTATACTATTAGTGAAACTGGGGGGAGGGGGATTAGACAATTCCATCGCTAGCAATGTATTTTATCAGACCGACTTCCACGTGGCTCTCCTGGCACCTATCCTGATGAACTCAGCACAATAGTGTAACTGACCTACTTTCATCTTCATCCGGAGTCAGAACACTATATATACCTTAAATCGCGGTATATCGTGTGGCTAATACATAGGATGTGTAAAATGATAGAAAAAGGCAGAGGGAAGCATAAAAGACCTCTACAAGTCCACGTGTGACAGTTTGTAAGTAGACCTTACAGGGTAATTTAATATAAGGAGGCAGGCTTACTATTATTTCTTTATTTATTCATTTACCTTTATCATCTATTAAAAACCGAACAAGTGTGAAATAAACGCATATGGAGAGAGTACGTTGATTGTTTACTCCCCATAAATTATTTTGAGTCCGATCCAAATCACTCGTAGTAGAGGACTTGTAATAGTGGACTCTGCAGAGGTGGTACCTGGTGGCGGTGGGTCAGCAGCGCGCGGACCAGCGGCCGGTTGTCGCAGTGGCAGCGCAGCGGGTTGCCGGCGAGCCGCACGCGCCTCCCGCGCACCGAGAACAGCCGCCGCGTCTCCGCCGCGCCCACCCGGGATATGTTGTTGTTCCGGAGGTCTATGTACTGAATATATATGATAGAAAGTGCCAAATAATCACACTAATCGCTGCTTCTTAAACTGGGATGCTGTTATTCGAATTTACAACCTTTCGCATAGAATATAGATGATATTTTCCACTAAAGTGACTTGTTCACAAGCTCCTTTATATCGTCACTGTTTTCCTACCGCTGGTTATAACAATTTGAAATAGTCATTTGCTAAGACAACCCAACTTGAAACTCAGTAATAACTCTTTTCAAATAAGTCGGGATGTTCCAAATCACGACGTTCTCGATAAATTGTAATTAAATAGAGATAACAATAATAAAATGGCTGTTTTTTTTTTTTTTTTTTTTTTTTTTTTTTTTTTTTTTTTTTTTTACAATATGTATGTCTACCAAATTGATGTAATGGCAAAAAATGGGTAAATTAAAAGTACTGATGAATATGAAAGAGACAAAAGACGTCTGTTTGGATTGGAGTATTTGCGTTCTGTTGTTTCTGCCTGCACCAAAGGTAGACAGGCGTGACGATATGTACAATGTACATATCTAAATTAATATTATAAAGAGGAAACATAATTTTCTTGGTAACGCATAAACTAAAAAATACTTTAGCGATTGTAAAATTCTTTTGCCTATAAAAAGCTACATTATCAGGGAATAACATGTATATTTTTATATATTTTCGTTTTAAATAACATTAAGGTTGCTAGTGTGTATCATCACGTCTGCCTTCAACTGTCCATTGCTGAGCATAAGCCTCCCAGTTGGACACTTTGCCAGTAGTTGCAACCGTACTCAGGCCCTGCGTATGTTTTAAGATTGACACTGCTGTCCATTCTTTGCACTCCCTTAGCCGCCTCTTACGACACCCACGCGAAAGGATGGGGTGGCATGGATTCTATGTCGGGACCACATGGCCAAGTGTAGACAGATAGATACTCTTTATTGTTTCCTCCAAAGCTTACAATAATAAACTTATTATAAGTATAAACAATTACAAGAAATAATCACAATGAAAAAACAATGGGCGACCTTATCGCTAAGAGCGATCTCTACCAGGCAACCTTTGGATGGAGAGGAGTAATTATAAACAATTAAGTGTATACATATAATTACAGTTAATGTATCAGGTATGTCATGGCTGTGTATGGCCTGTATGTGGTTGCGTGCGGCGTGCAGCTGCAGTAGAGGCGGCAGCTGTGGCAGCGGCGGCAGCCGGTGCAGGCCGCGCGCCGAGCAGTTGGCCACCACCCTGCTGTGCTCCGCGTCGCGCCACCAGCACTCGCAGCCGCCCGCGCACACCTCCTCCCCCTACCGGTCCAACATTTCATATATTCGTACTGCTATTCGTGCGAAAGTCTCGCCCTCTGCTGTTAAGAGTTTTAAAGTCACATTCGTTATTAGGTATAAAAATATTGAAAGGTCGATGGACCGCTTGTAAGGTCGAAGGTCCGAATTTGTCATTAAAATGTATTAAATTTGTCATCAAAGTTATGTCAGTCTTCAATTCAGATTTTTTTTTTTTTTTTTTTTTTTTTTTTTTTTTTTGTGTCCCAATGTGTCAGGTTTAATTGTAGAATGTCTTAGTGGCCAGTGATAAAACTAGTTAGCTAGTAAGCACGGTACTGTTCATGTGTATAGACGACGGTTACCACTTTCCATCAGGTGGGCCGTCAGCTTCTTTATTCTATGCGGCATAAAAATAGACCTTTATAACATATATGTTCCAGTGGTTGGCCCAGCAATGAGGATTACCATGAACGAAACAGTATACACCATGATGTTCGCGGTGAGCCACTAGGGGTGCCGTCGACTTGTTTACATTCTATGCCGCAAAATACAGACCTGTATTGGACACAGCATGTGGTCGAGCGGCTGTTCGAGCATGGGCCGGCGGTCGCAGGCGGGCGCGGCCGCCCAGCGCACGTGGCGCGGACACTCGGCGAGCATGCGCGCGAACCAGTACAGCCGGCAGTCGCAGATGATGTACTCGCTGATGGATATCGTCACTTTGAACTGAGAGAGATGAGATTTTTTTTTTAATAGCTTTTATAGATAATCGTACAAGGGAAATTAAATACATATGTTTTGAACCAACTATGTTTGTCATTTTTGATAATTGTTTCTAACTTCATCCGATAGTTTTCTTTGTGATGAGTATGGTCTCCGTTTCGGGCCAGGAAGGGAAGCCTTAATGGGCTATCGCTGCCGGATTTGTGGTCAAATGTGAAAGCGAACCTGTGGTTTCGGCACTATGGCGAAAAGGCAAAATGCCGTGGGGTTTTAGTGCTCGTTCGCAGACTGGCTCGGAAAGGACTGCAGATTTTGATAGACTTTAAAATAGAGTTTAGATCAATGAAATAATGTTTATTTTTATACATCCTTATTTTATTTGCCAGCTCTCGAGAAAACTAATTTCTCAGACAGTTCTTCATGATATTACAGTTCAGCTATTCGGTAAAAAATACCAACGTCGAATTTGATAAGACCTTTTACTAATTCGTAGCTGTTGTAGTAGACGTATATGTAGATCCCCGCTTCCTAAGATCAGGTATCTACTAAGTTTCCCAGGTTGAACATTCCGTCATAAGGAAGGAAGGATTTTGATCTCACTGTGAATATAAACAATGTGAAGTGACCTCGGTACAGTTGGCGCGGACGATCTCCGCGTAATGGGACTCGTTGTACGCGATGGTGTCGATGTCGTCCAGGAGTAGGCGCGACTGCCGCGCCCCCATCCATTTCAGGTCTCTGTACTGAGTTAGTAATTGATTAGTGTTTTTCTACGTCATTAACAATGGCAAAGAAATCGTAACTATCGCCCTATACATTTTTTTTTTTTTTTTTTTTTTTTTTTTTTTTTTTTTTTTTTTTTTTTTTTTTTTTTTTTTTTTTTTTTTTTTTTTGCGCTTACATTGTTATCGCTGGTTGAACCCCACGGGATAAATCAAAATAATGTACTACAGTATTGTACACCTTAAAAGGTCAACAAAAAAGTCCTCGATGGTATATGTCTATCTGTTAAGGATAACCCACAATAATCATTTTTTTATCAATATGGCCCTTTACAGCATGTAATTTAAATGAATATTTTCGAAGATATTACAGATTTAAAATACACGGACATAGCATTGCACCCGTGCGAAGCCGGGGCGGGTCGCTAGTTATATATAATTAGAGATCTCACGTGTACTGTCAGGCGATGGCCACGAGTGTCTCCCGTGAGGTCGAGGTGTGTGAGGGCGGGCATGTCCCGCGGCCAGCTCTCACAGGTCCTGGTGACGCCGGACCTGGCCAGCGACAGGTGCTGCAACACCGGCAACTGCAGCGGTAGCTTCACTGAGCGTATAGACAACAATAAGATATAAGAATAACTTACTTGTATTGCTGGAAGAGATCTCATTTTACAGGGAAGTTTGCTTCGTTCTATTTGTACAATAGTGATCGAAGTTCGACCATAACATATACTGTAATAAATGACTTAATTGAAATAAAATAAATAAATGTATTACGGTTACGTTTGACGTTCAGTGAGACTATAGACAAGTAATATTAAATACAAACAATATTAATCTATTCTCAATTTGACCGCAGGCAACAAACAGTAAACAAAAAAGTACACCTATATGCCTATGTGTGGCAAATACAAGTAAAAGGTTTTTCTTTTTACTTTTTTCTTTGGAAATCGTCGTTGTTAATTCGTCATGATGAGTCAATTGACTTGACATAATCTTGACTTGACATCTGTCGCCTGTCACGAGTTCACACCAGCGTATACCAATAACGTAGACAGGACTGCCATTTCATTTTAATCAGATTTTATTTAAAAAAAAAACTTAAGCTGATGATAATAAAAAAAAGTACCATCGTGTCCGTCGTGGCTACACACGTCACCCAGCGAGTTGCCGGCCAGCGACAGCTTCTCTAGCGTCGTTGCTGACGACGGCAACACCTCACTGAATCATAAGCGACCCAATCTCACTACCTAGAGGATTAGTGGCCTCATTGCTAGCAAGTCCTGTCAGGTCGATATCCAAGCAGTTTCCCTTGGATACCATTGTGACGAATACTTGTTGCATTCGTCAAAATGGACTAACTTTCATGCTCACCTATCATCCCTCACTGGTGCCCTGCCAGTGTATACCGATAGCGCGGGTGGGGTTACCATTACATTATCATTCATTAAAAAAAATCTTACTGCTTGTGTACCGCAGAATACCTCAGTTTGGAATAATTTAAGACGAGAAAGTTAAAGGGAGATCATTTAAAGTCGTCTTTTTGAGTACTGTACTTCTACATATGTAGACAATAACCGGCGCGGCGTCTACAGGCAAGAACAGCGCCAAGCACATCATTAAACACATTGTGACGCTCACGCTTTGCCGTTCTCTGCTCGTATCCAGTAATTTTATTACCATACTTTCTCGCCCTTCAACCCTGATCATGGCTGTGCTATCTCAAGCCGCTACATATGAATATTACTACAATTCTATTATATAAAAAAAAAAAGTGAAAAATACCTGCCCAGAAACTTCAGTGTGTCGCCATCATTGAAACCCAAGAAGGACTGATCAATTTCTAGAATCGAAAGTGGGTGTAGACCTGCAAGGAACGGCCCTAGCTCCTTGAACAAGTAAACATTCTTCATCCGCAGCACTTTTAACTGCGCACAGTCGGTGAGCCAGCGCGCCGGCGCCTCGCCGCGCTCCCACTTCAGCTCGCATATTGAGAGCTCATACAGCCGCCCGCAGTCGCCCAACTCTCCACGCGGTGTGTTGTAATTCAAAGACAAATGTCGTACTCGATTTGACGAGATCATCGGTGGCAACACCATATGCGTTAGTTCCAAACGGGTCGTGTTAGTGAGCGGCTGTAACCAGTCATCAGAGAGATATCCTGGAGTTTTACTTTCGTAGTTGATATCGAGAAGGTCGACGGCTAGTCCCTCGAACTGAGCTCTGCTGAACGAGGCCGTCTGTTTATAGTACAGCATTATGTGCAACTCGCGAGACACTGTGATGTTGAGTTGTGCGAGCCTGGTAGCATACGAGTCGCTCGGCACGTCGCAGTACTTGAACCGCACCACCGGCACGGTCGTCATGCTGCGGAAGCTCGGCAGCGAGCTGCTGTGGAGGCTGACGCCGGCTTTGCACGACAGCGTGAACTCGTCTCCTGTGCGGTACAGCGGTAGTGATTTCCCTGCAATAAGTATAAGGTGATTTAAAGGTTTCAGTGGAGCAGCTATACTCACTACTATTATGGACTCAGACTCATCATTCTCATTACAATATCTCACTGCTGGATATGGATCGCTTTTTTTTTTTTTTTTTTTTTTTTTTTTTTTTTTTTTTTTTTTTTTTTTTTTTTTTAAAATGTACTGATCTAATTAAGACGGTCATTGTGGAATGATCCCGCTCGGCTGTAACAGATGGAGACACATCCCGAGGACTTCAATCGTGAAGGGGAGTTTCATCGACATTCGTCCACTGTCATTATGGTGGAGCCTTTGAATCGTGTCTTAGTTAATCTATTATATATTTAAAGTGGATATACATAAGTAATTAAATAAATAAATATTGTAAATATGTGATCTTTACGTTGCCGTAGTAAAGTCCAAATAGGGGACGGGAAAAAAAAAAAAAAAAAAAAAAAAAAAAAAAAAAAAAAAAATAAAAATAAAACGCTGGTCAGTTTACCCATCCTGATGAATCTAACAATAAATTAATCACTATGTATTTCTAGAGGGAATCACGAGGAGATTGACTTGCAAGGGTATATTGTTAGCAATGGGGCTATAAATACTCAGAACTAGCAGTCTCGTCCCCTCCCCCTCATTTCTGTGGTAATTTCAACAAGGCATAATAACGTGCAGGCGGCTCAGGCCCGTTCCTTATGGCAATCTATGGAGGGGGGAGACCTATGTTCAGTGTGCGTGTAATACAATCCGAGTTACCGTCCACGTTGTACTGGTAGTAGGCGTGGGCGACGTCCACGCTGCCGTGCAGGTCGCGGCAGCGGGCGGGCGGCGGCCGGCAGCGCGGCCAGTCCGGCGGCGGCGCGCCGCTCCTGCTCGGCCGCTGGAAGTAGTTGTCCGTGTTCCAGTACTCGCCCGCCACTGTACACAGCACCGCCCACACGCACACGCACACGCACACTGAAACAGTTGTGGTCACAAGTGTGTACTTTATATTGCTAGCAATGGACTGGTAGTTCGCATTACTAACAATCCATTGCTCCTTCCTGCTACCCTCGAATCTCCCCATCTCCCGCGCCGGTATGACGGAAACATTCTGCCGCTGATGGTGCCCCCCCCCGCACCCTCCTCCCCTTCAGGAAGAGATCGCGTATTATCTGTCACTTTGCATTCATACATAATAATAAAAATCACTCGCCAATTTTACTTTAAATTATCTTTAATTTCTAAATAACAAAAACCACAAGCCCCGGTTCCAGCGCCATCTAGTATCTAGTATTTTGTTTAATACCCAACCAGCTTAACGGGGAGCCTGAGGCGACATGCACATTATACATATTTCAGTCCAATGTGGTCGAAGGTGAGTCCACTATCATTCAGATTAATACCATGATATTTCCTCAAACTTGAGTGTTTGTTTCTATATTTATTTGTTAAGTAATTTAAGAGGCACATCAACGTTTATCGGTACTTTACCTATCCTTATATAGAATAGTAACCTGTATTACGATACTGTTTGTCTTAATTCTTGTTACATCTATAATATATCATGATCCAGTATAGAAATCTCACCACATCTCCCCAATAACATCACAGTGCGCGAGCTCGACTGGAGATATCCGACACTGTAATTAGTGTTTAGATAATGAGACGAACACACACTAGCACGCGGAACGCGGCACGCGGCACGAGGCGACGCGGCACGAGGCGACGCGGGCGCCACGACAACACGGCTGCCACTGACATGACATTGAGGAAAACCACTCGAATTATTAGTATTACCGAACGGATCCAACACGTGGAACGTGAACATGTTCATTCATTTATTACATACTCGTTATGGCGGCTATTTCGTTTGCTTGTACTATCCTTCTTAATATGTATTTTGCATATAACTTTATTGCACACTTTTCAACGCCATCTATTGTCCAGTAGAGACTGCCAATCCACTGTTTATAGGATATGTGGCGTCTTATTTATTTATTTATAAGTTTACCAACACAAGATACAGCGACACATTTCAATACAATACACTGGTGGATCAGATCTAACTGTTCTTACATTTATAGGCAACCTGAGGAAGCCTTGATTAAATTTAATATGGTGCCTTCTAGAACAGAACAACAATCCCCGCGGGATTGATATCAATTTATCAATTTAAAATAGGAAAGGAGTATACAATGAAACAAACAAAGCAAAACAATCAAGAAGGAGGTAAACGAAGAAGGGTAGGCTAGTTATGCATACCCAGAGTCGTCGACTTGATTCACAAAGCGAGGAGCATATACTGCCTGCAGTGTCGGAATATTAGTCGTCCGTAAGTAAGATCTCTAAATAGTGAGAAGTCACCGCCGTTGCCCGGGATGCACCAGGCCCTAGCCATTGTCAGCCACCGTTCCCATCAGACGTATCCAACAGGACAAGTGAATTTACAATGACCAGAGCGCACATTCCGACCCAGCATCCTAATTCCTTATTTTCCTGGCTTAAGTTACTAAATATAAAACACGTATCATAGTAACAGTATTTACAATAAACTACCAAATTCACTTACTGAACTGTTATTAAAAGGTTTAGTCATTTTATGTAAAAAAAAAAAAAAAAAAAAAAAAAAAAAAAAAAAAAAAAAAAAAATTCGTTCCGTTTCGTTCCATTCCGTTCAGTTCCTCTTCTTTCCTCTCCTCTACTTTACGCTCCGCTCCTCTGCTATCCTCTCCTCACATCTCCTCCACGCTCCTCTCCGTTTAGAATATTGAATATGGCTAAATCGGTAACATTAAAGTGAATCTGGTCGTATTGAGAATATTGAATATAATTCAATATACACAATATTCTAAGCAAAATAACGTAATATAATATATAAACTAATGGAAATAGTGCTATGGTTGGCTACAAGATGTCGATTCTGACAGTAATATTACCACTACTGGTTACAAGATGTCGCATATAAAGTAATAGTGCCACCAACGGCCCACAGATGTCGCCACAGAAAGATTAAAAGTCGCTATAATTTACTCTGAATCAATCGGGTTATTCTATCAGAAAGTAATTGAACCTGCGGTTAGGTTAGGTTAGGTTAGGTTAGGTTAGGTTAGGTTAGGTTAGGTTAGGTTAGGTTAGGTTAGGTTAGGTTAGGTTAGGTTAGGTTAGGTTAGGTTAGGTTAGGTTAGGTTAGGTTAGGTTAGGTTAGGTTAGGTTAGGTTAGGTTAGGTTAGGTTAGGTTAGGTTAGGTTAGGTTAGGTTAGGTTAGGTTAGGTTAGGTTAGGTTAGGTTAGGTTAGGTTAGGTTAGGTTAGGTTAGGTTAGGTTAGGTTAGGTTAGGTTAGGTTAGGTTAGGTTAGGTTAGGTTAGGTTGGGTTGCTGGGTCGGAAAACCTCCAAGAGTGCCCTGGCTCATTGTACGGTCACTTGTCCTGGTGCGGATACGTCCGGCGGGAACGGTGGCTGACAATGGCTGGGGCCTGGTGCATCCTGGGCAACGGCGGTAAGTGACTTCTCGCTATTTAGAGATCTCACTTACCGACGGCTAATGTTCCGACAGAGGTGGTGAGCGGCGACCCCAAGTAATGGGGTTTGTCGTGTTTTGTTGGGGGCGGGTTTTGTTCCGCGACTTCTCGTAGTGGGAGCGGTCGGCGGGCCCGGTGAGTGCTTCGTTGCGCAGCCGGGCTGGTTTCAGTGCCACCGCCGAAAAACCGTAATCCTCGCGGAGGTGTGGTCATGTTTCGCACCCGAGTGAGGGGACGGGGCCTTGGCTTAACCGCCTGGGCCGCGAGGAGTAAACCTCTATAAAAATCCTCTTGTGTAAGCTTCGGTGCCTGGCGATGCATAGTTCGTTGTGCGGTGCACGCTACCGGACATTAAAAGTTCGGTTAGCGTGTTCTGTGCTGCGGGCGGGTCGATGGAGTATCATCGGCCGCAAGGGCACCAACCTCGGGGTATCTGCCGCACCCCGTTGTATGTAGGCCGCACGCAGAAGCAGGGGGCTCCCCTGCGTGTGAAACCTTTCCCCCATACTCGTGGGAACAAGTATGGATATGTCAAAAACAAAACCCAAAATTGATGTCGTGTCCGAGAAGGACGGTGAGAAGTCGGTGCCCGCGAAGGGCGGAGAGATGTCGGTGCCCGTGAAGGGCGGTGTTAGTAAAAAGAAGTCGGAAGTGGAGGTTCTGAAAGAGTGCTCCGTTGTACTGGGCGAGGATGTTGTGGAGTTGGGTCGCCGTCGCACTCGTCACAGCTTGTTGAGGGCGGTTGCGGGCGAGACCGACTGCGGGTCTTCGCGGTCGAGCTTGTGCGCATCCCCAATTGATGAAGGCATGGAGACGGAGCAGTTGCCGTCAACATCTGGACTACGCTCCTGGCGCAAAAGGCGTCTTAACGAGTCCGATACGGACTCCACGGTCGAGGATGAGGGCGATGTCCAATCCGTCCGCAAAAGGTCCGGCAGCCCTAGAGTGGGATCGAGAGCCAGTTCGATCGCTAGAAAGAAGGAGGAGTGTCGGCAATTCATATACCGATTCTTCGAAGATGAAGGGACAGCCGCTGGCAAATCTGGTCTGCCCCCAGTGACGGTCTTAGATTATCACGAGAGTGATTTCTTTTCTTCCGGAGATGAGGAGCCAGACAAACCGACGGAGCTGGACAGGCCGACGGCATCTGGCGCCACTACCACCGCTGCCGCCGGTGACAAGAACAAAGTGGCCGAGGAGGTACTCCATAGGGCGAAACTTCTCGTCCATCGGCAAGCGGATGCTCTTAGCGACGTCGTTAAGAAGGCGGGAAATCTCAAAGGGACCACCATAAGGACCCTGAAAGAGGGTTTGGCCGGGATCACACAGGTTGTGGACACCTTGGAGGGGGATCTATTTCCGACGTCGGTCTCTCCACTGGTCTCAAAGAACCTGAGACTTGAGCAGGAAGTCGAGTACCTGCGTCGGCAGTTGGCCGAGGCTCGTGCTGCCAAGCCAGCGGCCCAGGCCGGTATCTCGGCAGACGGTGTTCCTGTTGTAGGAAGTGATGCGAGCGCATTCCGTGCTCAAATAATGAGAGATGTCGGCGGCATCGTCCGCCAAATGGTAGGGACATTTATGAAAGAGGTGAGAGAAATGATCTCATTCGCCCCCCTCCAGAGAAGGTGT